AGATCAGTAAGTGGGGTTATTCCTCTGAAGATGATGATGATGATGATGTTCCATTGATGCAGGTCAAGCATATTTGATGCCAAGGCTGGAATTGCTTTGAATGATAACTTTGTGAAGCTTGTTGCTTGGTATGACAATGAATGGGGTTACAGGTAATTTATTTCTCTACTCTTTATTGCCATCACTGTCCTTGGATGTGGAAATATATTATGCTAGCTTTGACCCTTCAGATTTGCGCGGATTTGATATTCCCAACATTTTTGTTTGTCTCTTTTTGCAGTACCCGTGTGATTGATTTGATTGCCCACATTGCATCTGTTGCTTAAATCTTTCCAAGCGCATTGGATCACCCGGCTTTGAATTTTGTCTCACTCAGAGAATGTTTCTAATGTTAGCGGTGTTTCAGAATAAGCATTTGTGCTGTCCTAGTGTAGGCACAAAGCAATCTATTTCAATTGTGTCCAGTTATCTTATAGCATACGTAGGCTTTTCCTTCTCTTGTTCAAGAGCAATGGGTCCTATGCTGTTTGGGGGGGGGGGGGGACAGTACAAAGTAACATCCGGTTTCTGTCATATTCGTTTTTGGTTAATGGTAATTAGTATTCGGTTTCAATTTTGTGGTTTATGCTTTCATTAGAGAATCGCGCTTTCACTTTCGCATGCCTAACAGGTCGGACGAAATCCGAGATGTTATATTAAGTATTTAATCCCAATTGTGATATCAGTTTAAGATAATATCCAATTCACCAAGGGCTAAGGCGAAAAATATTGGCATGGTGCAATTAATTTACGGGTAACATGCGGGTTTTTGTGTGTGAGAGGGGACAAATTCAGGATGGGGATATCTTGGGTAGAGCTGGTAATATGGGTTGAACCCGCGGGTTCAACCTACCAACCCGCCAAAAATAACAAGTTAGGGTTGGTTAAAAGCCAACCCGCCAGTAAACGAATCTTTCCAATCCCCACCGCCAGGCCCGTCAACCCGCGAGCTAATCCGCATATTTTTTTTTATTTTTAAAATTTTTAAAAATTATTATAATTATATTATTATATATGATATTATATCTAAAAAATTAAAAAAAAAATACCTATATAATTTATTTGGTATTTCCAATCAAATATTTCAAGAAAAAAATAAAAATATCATTATATTTTTTTAAATATTGAATAAAAAATAATATTAAAAGATAAAAAAATTTTAAAAAAAAAGTAAATAATTGCTGGCGATTGGCGGGTTAGGGTTGGTTAAAAGCCAACCCGCCTTCAAGCGACGCTTTTCAACCGACCCATATGGGTTGAACCTGTCACGGGCCAACCCGCAACCCACGGGTTGGCCCGTATTACCACCCCTAATCTTGGGTATGAGAATTGAAGAAAACAAAACGTGCAAGGGGCTACAAAATCGTCAAAATATTTTGTACCAGTAAAAGTTAACCTATTTTAAGAAAATTGTGAAGGTGTGAAGTTCAAAGTGTAATTTTCTCAACTAGTTTTCACTTTTCGTTGTTTTAAAAGTTGTCCTCATTCTTAATGAGTCTCTTCCCTCATAATGTGGTTGAAAAGCCATCGTGATTTTTTATCTTGAAAGTGTATACAAGTCTGTCTAAATAATAAATAGAAGCATTCCGTGCATTTATCTTGATTTTATAGAGTGTATTATTCATTGTTTAGTTCTAGATACTAACAATTAATGAAGGTAAAAATTACAATTGAAAAAGTTTAGATGAGAATTGAACTTATTACTAATGCGAATCTTTCCACTTTGGACTATCTTTTTATAATTTCACTCTCAATTTCGATATTCCCTCTAGTTTTAGTAGCACATCTTGTAGGAATAATACTATCCCAAATCCATAATATAAGAGCTAGTTAGAAATTAAATTTAATCCTAAATATAATATCTTAATTTATTTCATCTCTCAAATATATGATACTTTCCTTAAAATATCTCTGGTTTCCACCAAGTAGAACCAAAAAAACAGGTTGAGTCCGTCAAGCCGGCCCCTTTAAGTCTAAAACTTGTGAGGGTCAAGCTTAAAATTTTGCTCTTAAAATGGGAAAGGAGCTCAAAAGGGTTGGCTCTGTAAGACTGGGGGCTTAAACAAGTCAATTCTGCAGGGCTAAGGACTGGCCCATTTATGTCTTTTTATAATTTTTAATATAATTATAATACTATTAATTTTCTTAAATTATTAATGATATTTCAAATATTTAGTTGTTATTATTATCATTTTTAAATTAAATTTCATAAAATAATGGTTTGATTTGTTTGGCTTTGGACAATAATTTATTCAATTAATAGCTAGAATGTAAAATTTAAAAGCAGAATTTTTATGACAAAGAAAAAATTGATATTTTTGCCACCAAAGAAGGGCATGTTCATTGATGATAGTGATAACAAAATTTCAAAAAATTGATAATAGTATTTTTCTATTGCATATTTGCACTCTTAATGGAATTTTTGAATGTTGTTATCTTATCAATGAATGTTTTAGATGTTCTTGGGTGTTTAAATATGATGATATTTTATATTTGTGACTTAATTTTATTCATATATGTATGCCTTTTATTAGTAATTTTATTGTTTTATTTTTAATTTTTCAGATAAAACATGTGAGAAATATTAAAAGAATTGCATTTTTCTTAGACAAACAAAAAGCCCGTGGGCTGGCCCTAAACCCATCAGTTATGGGCCGGGCCTAGTGAAATAAGATATTTTTAAAATTTTAATCCTGCAGGGCTAGGCCTGCCCGTATCTCCAGCACTACCACTAAGGGATAATTTCAATACACATGATTTAAAATGGTAGTTTAGAAGAGTTAGCATACATTTGTTATAATTAATTAACTTAACTAATTTTTTAATATCTTTAAATTTAGTTATCTAATTTTTATATTAAGAATTGGAAGTAACATCAACTATTTTCTTTTTAATTTCACTCTTGTCTCGTTCAATGTAAGCTTGCTTTGAGAATTGCCTAGATAAAAGTGGATTTTGAAGATGCCACAGTGAAAATATCCCTTAGTGGTTAAAAAAGTTGCCACAAATTCTGAAAGTGATTCTAGGCATACAAAAACTTTGTTCTCAGATCTATGGGATTTAAAAATAAAATACTCCTCCGGTCCTAATTATAAGACCCAATTGACTTATTTGAGGAGATTAAGGAAGTAAGTTAAGTTGGTTATTTATAATAAATAAGTGTTGTCATTCCTAAAATATCCTTACTAATTAAGTATATTGGCTAAAACTATCATTATTAGAAGGATTATCTTGGAAAAAAATGCATAAATATAAGAGACAAAATGGATTGGGGTCTTATAATTAGGACCAAATAAAAAGTCAAATGGGGTCTTATAATAAGGATCAGAGGAGTACCTCTATAAAAAAATAAAATTAAAATACCATGAGAGAATCAAGTGTCGACCCTATAGAACCGACAAAGTTATGCTGAAGTTGGAGCCAACATCTGAACATGGCTTGATCCGAAGCCTGACAAGGTTCTTCTTCTCGCTGACCATCAAAGCGTAGTTTATTCTCAGCAAACTAACCTAAAGGTATCCTATGTTATATATACAATGGGAGAAATATGATGAAGTTCCTCATTGATTGAATTCCAACTAGCCTGCACTACCCAGTAACTGAACCGTTCTTTGATGCCAAGATGAGGAGTTTCATACCTTTTCAATCCGGGAAGGGATCTAAACCAAATAGGGCGAGCAAAAGGACATAGGATGAAAATATAGGTTAGAGACGTCATTTTTGATTTTACAATCGCCTGCCCTATGTTTACAAGATTTCATTATGAAGCATTAACTTATATACGCTAACAGAGCCTATTTCTAGTGAGAGACTAACATACAAAAGATAGAGTTCATTTCGTTTCATTTATCTTTACTCCCAGTATCTCTCTACTATACATTTTAACTATTATGTCAAATTTTAGACAGTTAAAAAAAATTAAAAAAAAACTAATTAATATAAGCATATCACCTAATTAATGAAACCACGTGTTAAGCACATTGCACATTTATTGAATATACAGGCAAAACCATTCTTGAGGTACCTATATATTCCTTCAATTTTTAATTTAGTAGCTGTGTCTTTTTTTCCTTATTAAATCTTTTGATTTTACACTTTTAACACCTTTAATCCCTATAATTTTGCTCTATCAGCATTATTAGATCACATACAAAAATTAATTATGCTAACTACGTAAAATTAAATGATTTAATGTGGAGGGAGCTACCAAATTAAAAATTCAAAAAAAAATTCAATAACGGTTTTCCCTTGAAAATACACAAAAATACAATTAAAATAATCAAATTGATACCAAAAAAAAAGGGAAAAAAAACTCATAACAACTATTGGACTTGTTGCTTTACCCAACACGTCATAAAACTTCCACGCTTTTGTTAAACCAACTTCATGAATTTTCATGTTTTGCACATGCTCAAGCCTCTATGAGCTGTAAGAGCATATACATATGTTTCTCAATATGCATGGTTAAGGTCCCATTTGCACCATCAACATTTATACTAACATTATGGGCTTTTAATGTAGTAAATTGAAAACTAAATATTCTTTCTAACCACTTGATTCTTCCACTCTTTATTGAGCTTCTAGTTGTTGGGCCTTTAATGCCATGTAGAAGATCTGAGGATTGATTGGATCCTTCTTGTTGGGCCACTCATGACGTGGCTAACCTGTGTAATGCCACCTTAACCACCAACTCAGATGTTGTCTCTTGGATGCCACATATAACGCCACTTGGGCTCACATCGTAACCTATCATCCATGCTCCACGTGCGGTAAGTGATAATTTGGGTTTTTTATTGTTACCCAAGAGCAAGTTTTGGACCGTCATTTGAGTTTTTCAACTCACCATTCTTGATGAGGATAAGCAATCTCTGGATTCTTGATGCATCACCAAACAATATAGCCAGAAAGGGATCAGGAAACTCAAGTAGACATGATTTCTAGCTTAAAAGTAGACATAATTTCTAGCTTAAAACTAAATCATCAGATGTGTTAAGAATCATCCCAGCATTGCAAGCTCACAATTGGAGGATCACATTCGCATTTGTAGTCTTCCAATTTTGTTAAGAAATATATTTCATCTAATACTTTATAGATCTCTCCAGATCGAGGGTGCGATTCATCAGCCACCAAAAATTCTACAAACCCATCCCCTGTCTCTACAAGACTACGGCCAGGAATCTTCTTGACACCCTTTTCTCTCATCAAACTTCGCGCCATCTTTACATCACTCCAGTTTCTTTCTTTCGCACAAATACTTGCCCATAAAACATATATTCCACTGTCTTTTGGATCTAAGCTTAAAACATTACCAGCAGACAATTTGGCCAGTTCAACATTGCCATGCATTTTGCAAGCATTTAGAATGGCACCCCAAGCAGCTTCACACGGTTCCATTGGCATATTTGTTATTAAGTTATAAGCTTCTTCGAGAAGCCCAGTTCGACCAAGCAAATCAATCATGCAGGCATAATGCTCTCTTTTGGGTCCTATTCCATAGTTTCCTTCCATGGATTCAAAGTATTCACGACCTGCAGAAACTAATCCCCCATGACTGCAAGCCGTTAGCAAACTCACAAATGTTATATCATCCGGCTTGAATCCCAAATATATCATTTGATCAAATAGGTTCAAAGCTTCCTTGGCACGACCATTGGTGGCATATGCTGCAATTATGGAATTCCATGAAACCAGGTCTCTCTTTGCCATTGCATTGAAAATTTCTGAAGCCGCATCTATGCATCCACATTTGGCATACATATCTATAAATGCATTTGCTAGAGTAACAGTAAGGTTTATTCTTCTACTATTGATGAAATATTTGTGTATCCATTGACCCAGATTCAAGAAACTCAATTGACCACAGGCAGAGAGCACACTCACTAAAGTGTGCTCAACTGGAATCATACCTGCTTCAATCATTTCATGGAACAACTTTACTGCTTTCATGGGTTTGTTATTCTGAGAATAACCTGCAATCAACGCATTCCAGGTGACCACATTTTTCTCAGGAGTTTGATCAAAGAATTTCCTTGCAGATTCCAAGTCACCACATTTAGCATACCCATTAACCATGCTAGTCCACGAGAAAACATCTCTACTTTCCATCTTGTCAAAGAGCTCTGTAGCCGCTGTCAAACAATTGCATTTCACATACATGTCCAACAAGGCATTGTCCAAACTTAGACTGCGATTATTATTCTTCTTTTCTAAGAATTCGTGGATGCTTTTCCCCATGCTAAGATAACCCTCCTGAGAGCATGCTGAAAGCAGAGCAATGAACGTTACCTCGTTGGGCTCGATACCACTCGACAACATTAATTTGAAAAGGTTCATAGCCTCTTCTGAATAGTTTTGGGCTGCATACCCATCAATCATTGAGGTCCAAGTAACCACATCCTTCAGAGAACTTTCGTCGAACAACTCGCGTGCAAGTTTCAAGCAGCCACGATCGGCATAAAAATGGATCAACCCATTCCGCACAAGCAATTCAGCCTCAAATCCCATTTTGCGAACCATGCAATGGACCGATTCTCCTTCAGCAACTGTCTCCAACCGCTCGCACGACTTGAGGGCGAAAACAAAGCTCCGGCAATCCATTTCAACGTGTTCTCCAACCATTCGACTAAAGAATGAAAATGCATAAGAAGGAACCTTCGCTTTACAGTAACCTCTGATCATAGTGTTCCACATGTATGTATTGGGTTTCTCAATCTGGTTGAAAAGCACATGGGCATATCGCATGTCTCCGCCATCCGCAAGAGCGCAGAATGCTAAGACGCGGCTCACCGGAAAAGTGTGGGTAATGAGGCCAGTGCGAGTCATGTGTGCTTGAATCTGCCTCAATTGGGACATGGTAGAACAAGACTCCATGATTACAAGAGTGGGATTTGTGATGATCACACTGGTCGTTGAGTTCCATTTGAACTGGTTGGCAGAAACCGACGACAATAGTCTCCGAGATTGGACGAACAAGCAAGAAAAAGAACAGAACGAGTTAAGGGCCAAAACAAGCAATTTCATGTGAATTGGATGCACACCACATTGAACAATCCGTCAGTGTCTGAGAAAGAATCCTTATTGGCATATTTACATAGCACGATAAACGCGTCGTCTGGGTGCGGATGCGAGGCCCTAGACTTCGTATGTGTCTTCCTCCTTATAAAGACGCTCTTTCGCCTGAAAACGTTAAATCCTTTTTTTTTTTTCCCTTGATACAACGAAAAAAAATTTAACAAAAAAAGGTTAACTCCTTAATCCTGTCACCTTCTTCATAAAATTTATTAATTTTTTAAAATTTTTTATTCATATCTAATAATAGGGAAAATGACAACAAAATACCACCTGAATTCCAAAAAGACAAATAAAGCACCTGAATAAGCAAAATGACATATAGGGGACTGGGTACCAATCTGGAATTCAGATTTTGGGCCAAAAGACCAAAATGCCCTGTCTGAAAGTGAGAGAAAGGAGAGAGGAAGGAGCTGATGAAATACGGGAAAGAGAGAGGAGGAAGACGCTGATGAAATTGGGAAGAAGAGAGGAAGGAGAGAGGAAGACGCTGATTTTCGATGGGTTCCCACAGTTTAAAATGTTATTGCCTAGCATTTCTCTAAAAAATTTTGGTTCTGTCTCTGTTCTTCGCATAAAACCATTTTCAGAGAATGTGAAGCTGTGGGAAAAATGAACCTGTGGGAAAGATGAAGCGAAAATCAGAAAACAATGGCAAGCAATTACGTAACGTAACTGTTGTCATATGCCTGCTGGTTTTTGGTAAATCCCACTACGTGAATGATAAATTTTACTATACATGTAGTTAATTATGAATTTTACAAAATACATATTGTGATTTACAACTTTTGTAGTGAAAGTGACTACTTTGTTAATGGGTTTTGCAACCTGTTTTCAGGAGATAAACAACTTGTTTGTAAAAACTAATAAAATTTCACGCTAAATTTGACAAAACGTATAGTGGGATTTACAACTTCTATAGTAAAAATGACCACTTATTCAATGGGTTTTGCAACTTGTTTTCAGGGGATGGGCAGCTTGTTTATAAAAACTAATAAAATTTCATACTAAATTTGACAAAACACATAGTGAATTACTTCTTCAATGGGTTTTGTAACATGTTTTCAAGGGATTGACAACTTGTTTCTAAAAACCAATAAAATTCTATATTGAATTTTACAAAACATAGAGTGATATTTACAACTTTTGTAGTGAAAATTATCACTTCTTAAATGAATTTTGCAACTTCTTTTTAGGGGATAAGCAACTTGTTTCTAAAAATAAATAAAATTTTACGCTGAATTTGACAAAACACATAGTGAGATTTACAACTTTCATAGTGAAAATAATCACTTCTTCAATGGGTTTTGCAACATGTTTTCAAGGGATTGGCAACTTGTTTATAAAAACCAATAAAATTCTATGCTGAATTTTACAAAACATGTAGTGAGATTTACAACTTTCTTAGTGAAAATGATCACTTCTTAAATGGGTTTTGCAACATCTTTTCAGGGGATGAGCAACTTGTTTCTAAAAACCAATAAAATTTCACACTGAATTTTACAAAACACAGTGAGATTTACAACTTTTATAGTGAAAATGACCACTTTTTAAATGGCTTTTGTAACCTATTTTCAGGGGATAGGTAACTTGTTTCTAAAAACCAATAAAATTTCACGTTGAATTTTACAAAACATATGTTGGGATTTACAACTTTTGTAATAAAAGTGACCGCTTTGTTAATAGGTTTTGCAACATATTTTCGGGGGATGAGTAACTTACTTTTCACCACCAATAAAATTTCACGCTGAATTTTACAAAACACATAATGGGATTTACAACTTTTATAGTGAAAGTGACCACTTCTTCAATGGCTTTTGTAACCTGTTTTCAGGGGATAGGTAACTTGTTTCTAAAAACCAATAAAATTTCACGTTGAATTTTACAAAACATATGCTGAGATTTACAACTTTTATGATAAAAGTGACCGCTTTGTTAATAGATTTTGCAACATATTTTCAGGGGATGAGTAACTTACTTTTCACCACCAATAAAATTACACGCTGAATTTTACAAAACACATAATGGGATTTACAACTTTTATAGTGAAAGTAACCACTTCTTCAATGGGTTTTGTAAACCTGTTTTCACCGGAAGAGCAACTTGTAAGTATAAATAAATCATTCAGTGAACGTGCACCTGAAGTACATCACAATAAACATTGAACTATTAACTTTCATAATTAACTACATGTATATTAAAATTTACCATTCACGTAATGAGATTTACCAAAAACCAGCAAACATATGACAGCAATTACATTATGTAATTGCTTGCGACTATTTTCTGATTTCTGCTTCATCATTCACCAAATACTGAATATGAACCCTCAAATGCAATAATCCTGTTCCTATTTCACCATGAAACAGCCACAAAAATGAATAATCCAAATCCCGCCATCAACTTCTACTCACTCATGAATAATTCAAATACTTCAGCGACCTCTTCAATGACGACAATTTTAGGGGGTACAAGTTATTTCAGACAGGGCAATGTATTTCAGCAATGGCAATCTACTCCTACGACGACGGCAACGTGATTTCGAAAAATCCTTTTTGGTGACTGCAGGAACTTGGATTTAGTTTCGTAGAAGGAAATCAGTTTCTCCTTTCTCTATCGCATGAATACACTGCTCAATGTTCAGAGACAATCAGGGCAATTCGGTCTTTTGGCCGAAAATCTATATTCCAAATTGGTATCCAGTGCCCTATTTGTCATTTTGCTTATTCAGGTCCCTTATTTGTCTTTTTGAAATTCAGGTGGTATTTTGTTGTCATTTTCCCCTAATAATATAACTTATAAGTATAATAAAAAAAAATTTCTTAGATAAGTAAAATTATAGTTTTTTTTTATTTAATCTTACTGTGTAACGTCCAAATTTTTTTATTTTATTTTAGGATTTAAGTAACATTTGAATGAGATTAATTAATGGCAATTAGAATATAACATGTAATTATTTGAGTAAGGAAAAAAAATCTCATTATTTTCTAATTGTAAATAGATCTCATGTATGCTTGAAACGTTTCTGAGATGATTGAATACAACATCGATTGCTAACAACAATATTGTTAATCTTTAGCGCGCCATAGTTAACATAGATATCGTTTGACACTCACAAGCATTATTCGTGGACAGGTACCAGTGCTTGTTTTGTGGTTCAGTTCATTGTTTTGACTAACTCCTTTTGTAGTATAAGGCACACTAAACAGAGTGATATGGAGAGAATCAAATCTCTTCAAATCCAGGTAGGCTTAACCTGAACCCTACAAAATAAAAGGAAAAAAAGTTCTTTTTTTTTTAACTAGGAATATTATTCTTCTATTGGAAATAATTCTATTTAAAGCACTATTGAACACTCAATGTAAGCACCTCTATCAGTAGAAATTCGAATCTTGATTCACCACACTATGAGAGACTAATCCTTTTTGTTAGATCAAATTCCTATCATAAAAGAAAAGGTCCATGGTCTAATCAGAGCACACACAAACCCTTTTAAATAATTTATTAGTGGAGCTAGGCCGGAGGCCCAACCCTAATGCGCTTGGGCTCACAAGTCTCATTTCTTGGAAAGTACCTCACTGGTCTTATTTATACGTCATGTTTAACAACCAATGAAAATTGGGTCCAATAGAAAGGACTAATCCCTAACAATGTGGCGAATAAGGGTTGGAATCTTGCTAAAAGAAGTGTTCATAGTTAGTACCTGACAATGCCTCAAACATAATTGTATCTAACAGGAGAATACCCGTGCTTAAAAAAAAAAAGTCACTTTTAACATATTTTATACAGACCCAAGAAAAATTTTAAACTTCGTTAACTTTTATTTAAAATTTAACAACTTTTCAACTTTATTCCTATTCAATATGTATTATGTCTCATAAAAACAAAGTTAACGTAATAATAAATGAAGGATAAAATTATACATTCATATAAAATATTTTTCTCTTTATCATATAAATAGGATAAAAAAACTTTTTTCTTTCTCTGCCGTATAAATGAGATCAAAGAAGTCTAGAGCCCAACCTTTCTTATCAAGGATTATTGGGAGGCCCGAAAGCTTTTTAAGTATTTTTCTTAATATTTTTTCACTTACAATTACAAAGTTCAAATTGTAACATCCAAAACCATATTTCTCATATATAAATGCAAATAAATTGTAGAAATATCTAAGGTTAACTAGTACTTCATCTAAGGATAGATTTAAAAAAAAACAACACAATACTAATTATTTAAATTATAATTATTTTTTATCATCCAAAATGTTTTAGAGGTTTTGAGGACTTAGATTGAGTAGGAGCATCTATGGTACATTAATTACCAAAAAGAATGAATTGTATCCTAATACAATATGATTAATTATTAAATAGTTTCAATAGTAACATTTTCTAATTATTAATTGACTAAAATATTCTAATACAAATTTTCTCCTTCCTTAACCTTAGCTTTGGCATTCCTCCATATAAAATTTGAAGTTAATAAAAGATCAGAGATTATAGTAACCTAACAAAATGTAACTAAATCTGCTTACCAAAAAAAAGTAATTAAATCTTCTGTTAACTTCTTAAATATAATAATTCTTTTGGAACAAAAGTAAAAATTCTAAAATCGGTATTTCGGATCTGGCTTCTCTCCACTGCACTTATCCTCTGCCGCCTGCACACAGCGCCGTTTTGAGCATAATGAGAAGAGACCTAGAATGAGGAGAAAATGCTTGTTCATTCACATTTATGGGACCTACCCACCTCCAAGACACTTTTTGAAAAAATCGATTAAACAAACGAATACATTAGAAAGGAAAATATTCATGTGTATTATAAATATTACGATATGTGAATATCCCTAAATTTTCTCATGATCTTTCATATTCTATACTCTATAACCTTTTTATTGAATAGTTTTTAAAAGTTTTTATTCCATAATTAATATTGTTATTTATTTTCTGCGACGTTTAGTTAAGTTTGGGAACTTATAAATAGAAGGTTATGTAATGCCCTTTTGGATCATCTAAGTGAATAAGAATACACTCTTCTTTCTCT